ACCACTTGAGCTACAGCGCCATTTCCGGTTTTCTGGTGGTTAATTGGAGATAGGAGTCTCACGGACTTTCCTGCCCGGGCTGGCTTTGAACCGCTATCCTCAGATCTCAGCCTCCTGAGTAGCTAGGATTACAGGCGTGAGCTACCAGCGCCTGGCTTTGGTTTTGATTTTTGAGATAGTCTATCTACATAGCCCAGGCTGGCCTTTAATACTCAGTTCTCATGCCTCACCCTCTGGAGTTACTGAGATTGCAGGCATGGACTACCATACACTGGGAAAAACTGACTCAAAAAATTCTTTTTTTTTTCTAATTGTGAAAATACCATATAGAGGGGTTACAATTACATGGGCAAGACAACTGCCTCAAAATTTCTAAGCAAAGGTAAAGATAGATTTTACCCTAATAGCTAATTTTAACATATTTGTTTTAAAATATCTCTCCTTAAAACTGCATTACTAACTCAAATAGAACTTTTATTTTCAACAAACTCTGAAGTTTATTTCAAGGGTACTGAGATTGGAACTCACTCAGGGCCACATACTTGGTATGTATATGCTTAACCTCTTGAGCCACGCCCTCTTTTTGCTTTAGGTTATTTTTCCGATGAGGTCTTATATTTATGCCCAGGGTGGCCAGCACTGCAATACTTCTAGTTATGTTTCCTGCATAACAGCAATGATAGAGATTCACCACCAACCCAGCTTTTACTGGGAGAAATGGGGTCTCAATGACTTTCTGTCCAGAATAGTGTTGAACCTCAATCCTTCGACATCAGCCTCCCAAGTAACTAGAATTGGACATAGCATGATCTTGTATAAAGGATGACAAATAGATAAGAAATTAAGCCACAGAGCATAAAATAGTACGCATTTTTACAGGCCAGGCTATAGCTAAGTATAGCCCAAAGTATATGAAAGCTTTTACTACATTCATAGTAAATACAAATAAAAGATAATATGGAAAATAAAATGCAAATTATTATTTACAAGAATAATCGATGTGTACATACATTTAAAAAAAACCCTACTAGGAGTGACAGTGTAATTAACTAGCACTTCTTATAGAGAAGAGACGGAGTAGGAAATCTATAATAATACTACTCCAATCATTTTATTTATTTATTTATTTATTTTGCAGCTTCTGGGGCTTGAACACAGGGCCTGGCACTGTCCCTGAGCTTCTTTTGCTCAAGGTTAGTACTCTGCCACTTGAGCCACAGTACCACTTCCACCTTTTTCTGTTTATGTGGAACTGAAAAACTGAACCCAGGGCTTGTTGCATGGTAGGCAAGTACTTGACCACTAAGCCACATTCCCAGCCTATTCCAATCATTTTATTCCTCTATTTCAAGAGAAAGGAGAAATAAAACTATCAAATCATACTTTTTTTTTCAGTAATGGGGCTTGAACTCAGGGCCTGAGTGCTGTCCCTGAGTTCTTCTGCTCAAGGCTAGTGCTCTACCACTTGAGCCACAGCTCTACTTCCAGTTTTTGAGTGGTTAGTTGGAGATAAGAGTCTCACAGGGACTTTTCTGCCAGGGTTGGCTCTAAACTGCAATCCTCAGATCTCAGTCTCCAGCATAGCTAGGATTATAGGCATGAGCCATCAGCACCCAGTATCATTACATTTTTATAACTGAATTATGTTAAAGATAATTACAATGAATATGTTTTAGGGCAAATTCTGTGAAAGTAGGAATATAACTGAAGAAATAAGATATCTGAAATTAGATCAATTCTAGAAAATGTCTATTTCTATACTAAACAGATTTCTGTTAAAAGTACTCTTAAGATGATCATCTTCAGGTGAATATACTTGAGATCACTTTGCATCAGATTTCCTGGTTCCAGTCCTTGGCTCAGCACCTCAGCCACAAGTTCTCTTTTGAGAATCTCCAGCACCAAATCTCTAAAGCACCATGTCATTATCTTTCTTCTATACAATGATTTATACACACCTCACGGCTCCTGTTAGAGCTATGATTTCGTCATCCGCAGCTAAACCAGGTAACTTTTAAGCAGCAAACACTTGGGATGACTAAGTAATGGTATGCTCACTCGTGTGAACTAGCACTCTCTCACACATATACACATACACGCACACGCATACAGGAGACTAAAAATTTTGGCTTTATCATGTTGTATGAAATATGTGAAGAAGCTGATTTTTAAAAATCTAACAATCAACAGGAATGTGGTATTCAAACCAGAGGAAAGTAGAATGTATATATTTAGCACTCAAACCATAATGGGAAATAATACTAAGTGTATGTTGAGAGGTCACTAAAAACTTAAGATAGCAAATGATTTCTTATTCCATGATACTAATAAAAATGGACAATTTTATTTTGGTGAGGAAGTACTGGAATTGAGCCAGGGGCCTCAGGTTTACTAGGCAGATGATTTACCACTGAACTATAACTCAAGTCCTTTTTTGCACTGGTTTTGTTTTTGTCGTTGTTTTAAGATAGTCTTGCTTCCTGCCTGGGTGCATGCCTAGACTGAGATCTGCCTATCTTAGGCTTCCTCTTATAGCTGGGATAGATAAACACGACCACATCTAGCTTCCCTTCCATTAAAATGAAGTCTAAAAGATTCTTCTGCTTGGGCTAGTGTGGAATCACAATCCCCCAGATCTCAGCTTCCCATTCAGTTAGGGTGGCACCATCTCACCCAGCTATTGACTAAAAGAGGTCTTTCTTGTGTATACCTAGGCTGGTCTTGAACCTTGATCTTCTGGATCTTAGCATACCAAGCCACTAGGATTACAGGTATCAACCACTGGTGCCCACTAGAATGGACAATTTTATAATATCTAAAGGTAAAGGTCATAAAGATGCATATGAATTGCTGTCAGTATACTTTTTAATCTTCTTCAAATCAAAGTTGGATGCAATGTGAACAATATATTAAATTATACATGCAGAAGAAGTTTCATAGCATTTTAGATCATTTGATTTTTCATCCATTAAAAGCTTTCCTATGAACCTGTACCATATGTACAATAAAATGAACAATATTCAATAGTAACCAGGGTGCTTGCCTGTAAGGAACAAGAAACACAGATATAGAAAAACAGGTATGAAATACTTTCATGAAAAAGAAGGGGGTCCAAATCAAATGCCAATCTGGTACAGATAAGGAACTTAAAACTTCAGAGGAAGGGATGAAGTAAGTGTCTAAGAAGCAGAAGTTGAATTGTACATTAAAATATGGTCATAATTTAACATAAGTGCCACAAAGAACAACTAAGCATGTATAGCAAGCACTTAGGTGAATATTCTGAGTAAAAAGGACACTTGAAGCTGGGAAGTAGAATAAAGATAGTTTAGAATAATGGCCTGTGATTGATTTGCAGAGAAACTTGAAAGGCAAATTAGTAAATCTGGCTAATGGTCATTAGTGGAACACTTCAAAGCAATAAACATGAAAAAGGAAGAATTTAGGGGCTGAAGGTCTATACCAGTGGTACAGCATTTACCACATATGCACAAGGCCCTATATCAATCACCAGGACCCACATATAAAAAGGCAGGAAGACAGGCCGGCAGGCAGGAAGGCAAGAAGGAATGAAGGAACAAAGGAACGAAGGAAGGAGTGGGAGACATGCATCTATGGAAAAATCATCTTGCTGTGCTGTAATCAGAACAGCTTTTTCCCCACCCGGTACTAGCACTTGGGCTTGATCTCCAGGCCTCTGCTCAGCCTTTTTGCTCATGGCTGACACTCTACTATCTGAGCCACACCTTCACTTCTGCTGCTTTGCTGGTTAATTTAAGATTAGCATCTTTTGGATTTGTCTACCCACAATGGCTTCAAATTGAGATTCTCAGACCTCAGCTTCCTCAATAGCTACAATTACTAGTGTCCAGCTCAGAAGTTACACAGACTGGAAGTTGAGAGACCTACTAAAGAAATGAGTAAAATAGATCTCAATACAGGTTACACCAAAAGAATAAGAAAAATAAGGAATGAATATTTAATAATTACAACAGACAAGATGGAAGATCTGGGCAAAGATGACAAAGATTTCATACCTAAGTAGTCCCACAAGAGACAGAAAGAAAATAAATGAGTTTTTGAGTCTGCAAGGTCTGGTCCAAACCTGTGCTGTGTATAAGCTATTTAACTTCCCTAAAGCCAGTTTCCTCAAATGTAAAGAGATAGCTACCTTCTCTGGATGTTCAGAAGATTAATAAGAAAATATAAAGCATCGATTCCAGGTGCTGGTGGCTCAAGCCTGTAATCCTAGCTACTCAGGAGGCTGAGATCTGAGGATCATGGTTAAAGCCAGGGCAGAAAAGTCCATGAGACTCTTATCTCCAATAAACCACCAGAAAACTGGAAGTAGTGCTGTGGCTCAAGTGGTAGAGCACTCACCTTGAGCTGAAGAGCTGTAGAACAGCACCCAGGACCAGAGTTCAAGCCTCACAACCGACAAAAAAATGAAATAAAAATAAAGCATCGAGAACACAACAGGCACTCAATTACTATGACTGTTATCTCTCTCCCTTGGCTCTCCTTTAAGAATTCTCTTTCAAAATGCAACAGTACATCAGGTAATCTATCTACTAAGTTTTATTTCAGGATTGATCAAATTGAGTTCATGGAAAAAATTAGATGATTCATTCAATGGCAAACAACAAATTATTTTTCTATTGGTATCAAAAGGTAGATTGACCATGAAACGTACAAATGTTTTTTTCAAAGGAGGGAAGATGTAAACACAGAATACTCTTTAAAGATATGTATATCTAGATAGATATCTTCTGTAGAATAACTCTTTGGTTATTTGATTCATAAATCCAAAGACAATTTCCTTAAAAACATAAGGGTAATCTCTTTAAAACAAGACTTTTTTAATGTATACATCAAAATCCAATGGAGGCTGAATTTCCAAATATGGACCTTCCCATTAAGAGAAAAAGGTTAACAGTATAAATTTCTTTTAAAACAACTGGAGTAAAAGCAAAGTTCAGACATAATAACAAATTACTCACCTTCCATGGGCATGGAAATCTAGGCGTAAAAACTGGTCCTCATGTGAGACTGCTCTTTTGGCACGCTGGTGTTTTTGGTGTAATGAGTCCACATTATAAGATAATCCTTCATAATGTCTAATGTATTTATTTAGAGGATTTCCATACTGACCTATAAAAACAGATAAAGTCTGAATTAGTATCATCTTGAAGGTCTCCCTAGTTCTTCCATAATTCTGCAGCTACCAACAATATATATGAAACAAATGTTCTACTAATCCCAGTAATAGTATTATGAATCCCCCGTTGTTTTCACATGTATTTTTTTTTTCTTTTTGGGTCCAGTTGTGGGGCCTGAACTCTGGGCCTGGGCACTGTCCCTCAGCTCTTCAGCTCAAGGTTAGCGCTCTACCACTTGAGCCACAGCGCCACTTCTGGCTTTTTTCTTTTTGTTTATGTGGTGCTGAGGAATCGAACCCAGGGCCTCATGCATGCAAGGCAAGCGCTCTACCACTGAGCCACCTTCCCAGCCCCTACACGTATTTTTTTTTTTTTTGGGTCCAGTCATGGGGCCTGAACTCTGGGCCTGGGCACTGTCCCTCAGCTCTTCAGCTCAAGGCTAGCGCTCTACCACTTGAGCCACAGCGCCACTTCCGGCTTTTTTCTTTTTGCTTATGTGGTGCTGAGGAATCGAACTCAGGGCCTCAGGCATGCAAGGCAAACGCTCTACCACTGAGCCACCTCCCAGCCCCCTACACGTATTTTTTAAACTTACTTAAATGGTAATTCCAACCATATACAAAAATTTGTCCATTAGCTGTAGATTTGTCTTACATCTTTTATAAGGTTGAGGAAGGGTTTTTTTTTTTAATCATACTTTACTGATTTAAGAAAAAACTATCTCATTCTTTACTGATTAAAAAAAAACTATTGGGATGCTTATTCTCCATCTATTGGAACAATCTTACTTTTTTTCTTTCTGTTTTGTTAATATGATGACTTAAACTGTCAGATTTTTTTTTTATGTTAAACCAACCTTGCCTTCCTGAGTCTTACTTGGTCATATTGTTGGATTCAGTCATTGCTCCAATTTTATCTGAAATTTTTATCTGTGTTAATGATAGATACCGGTTTGGAGTTTTCTGGTATTATCTTTGTCAAATTTAGTCCTGGCTTTAGAAGTATGTGCCACAAGTCCAGCTAAATCTGAAAATGTGTTAACTATAATAATGACAAATAGAAAACGCCACAACTGATCTCATGTGAGGGACCACAGTCAAAATACAGAAATACTAAAAATATTGTACAAAATTGTCTTCAGACTGCATACAAGGTGTACAGGAATCAAAATTAATTTTGTGTTTAGACTTGTTTATTTATAAATGCATCTATATACGCATACATATATGGATAAAAATATTCTAACATTAAAAGAAAAAAACAACTTCTGGTTCCAAGCAATTTGAATAAGGGATACTCACTGATAAGGACCTGACATTAGTGTACTGCCAATTTTTTCCCCTTTGCCCTTTATAAGTTTATATACTTACATTTAAACCTTCATATTTAAATTTTTGTTTAAATAAAAAATTGTCTCTCAGGCTGGGAATGTGGGCTAATGGTAGAGTGTTTACATAGCATGCACTAAGCCCTGGGTTCAATTCCTTAGTACTAATAAACAAAAAAAAGCAAGAAGTGACACTGTGGCTCAGCAGTGGTAGAGTGCTAACCTTGAGCAAAAGCTCAGGAACAGTACCCCAGCCCTGAGTTGAAGCCCCAGGACAAAAAAAAAAAGATGAAAAAAAGTCCTTCCACCATTTTCACTTGTATTCTTTCTAACAATAAATCATCTGTCCTCCTTATCTGTCTAAAGATATGTAGTCTTTTCTTAGTCTGCCTTTTAGACCTTCCTTTTTACTACTGGCTTTGGGCAATTTATGAGATGTTTTGGTATAGTCCTCGTGACATTTCCTAAGCTTTAGTTTCATTGTATTTACTTTCCAGAGCTGGGAATTTTTATTCATCCTTCTTTAAAGGCTCCAGTAAGTATATATTACTCTACTGAAACTTTTCCCACTGATGAGCTTTTCATCTTTCTAAAAATTTCTTTTTTCTTTGATTCATATTAGGTGATTTCCAGCACTGTGTCTGCTATCCCTCTAATATTGCACAATATCTAATCTGTTTTTAATTAGATATGTATTAAGCCATCTGTTAGAAATTATATATATATATATATATATGTATGTATAAAGTAAATTCAAGATTAAAACAAAACTAGAGTCAGGTGCCAATGGTTCACACCTACAATCCTGAGCTGAGATTTGAGGATTGAGATTTCGAGCCAACCCAGGCAGGAAGGTCTATAAGACTCTTATCTCCAATTTACCACCAGAAAGCTGGAAGTGGAGCTGGTAGAGTTCTAGTCTTGACCATAAATAAATAAATAACTATTCAGAGGCAGTGCCCAGGCCAGGCCTTAAATTCAAGCCCCAGGATACACACACACACACACACACACACACACACACACACACACACACACACAAACCCTACACACACAAAGAATCTTGATGGCAAGCCAAAGCCCAGGAGTTGTGGCTGGGCTGGTTTTGGAACTTAGGACAGTGACAACACACTTGAGTGGTAGTCTCCTCTTCAACTGTGACTGGCTAACCCTGGGGCAAAAGATTAAAACCCTGCCCAAATCCTAAGGATGTTTCCTTTTAAAAAAAATTGGGAGGGGGGCTGGGAAGGTGGCTCAGTGGTAGAGCGTTTGCCTTGCATACCTGAGGCCCTGGGTTCGATTCCTCAGCACCACATAAGCAAAAAAGAAAAAAGCCAGAAGGGCGCTGTGGCTCAAGTGGTAGAGCACTAGCCTTGAGCTGAAGAGCTGAGGGATAGCGCCCAGGCCCAGAGTTCAGGCCCTACGACCAGACCAAAAAAAAAAAAAAAAACGGGACCTATGTTTCTTTGGGTCTGGCTTACTTCACTTAATATAATTTTTTCCAAGTCTTCCTATTTCCTAACAAATAGAGCAGTGTCATTCTTTCTGATGGAGGCATAGAATTCATATATATATATATATATATATATATATATATATATACATATATATATTGCAATAACTAGTATATGTCTAGGACAAGCAGAAAAGGCCAAAAGCTATGTACATATGACCATATGTAAGCAAAATGAACCTCAAGATAGGGACACAAGAGGTTGTATCTTTGTTGCTGTTGTTTTTAATGCATTGTAATGTACTGTGTGATTTTTTTTTCTGTTGCTTTTGTATGTTCTTCTGCCATGGTATAACCCCTGTTTTCATTGTATTTGATTGAGGTGCCCTGCATCTTGTTTATACTTTTTTCTAATTTCGTGAGGGGAAGGGAAATAACAAAAAGCTGAAATAAGGATATAGGCTGACCCATTGTTAACAATGAGATATACAAGACACTATGTTGAAAATGAACTTTACAACTTGGGGTGCGGGGGGAGGGGAAGGGAGAGAGAGGAGGAAGTGGGGAGAGAGGAGTTAGGGAGGTGGGCAGGAAAGGAATGGTAGGGGACAAACAAAGTAGGAGGTTACAATGCTCGATACAAAATGTACTTATTACCTTATTCATGTAACTGTAACCCCTCTGTACAGTATCTTTGCAATAAAAAAACATATACTAGCCGGGCACCAGTGGCTCACGCCTATAATCCTAGCTACTCAGGGAACTGAGATCTGAGGATCATGGTTCAAAGCCAGCCCAGGCAGGAAAGTCTGTGAGACTCTTATCTCCAATAAACCACTCGAAAACCAGAAGAAGTGCTGTGGCTCAAGCAGTAGAGCACTCGCCTTGAGTTGAAGAGCACAGGAACAGCGCCCAAGCCCAGAGTTCAAGCTCCACGACCAAAATATATTTTTTAATCCATTTTTTCTTCAAATGTACCTTGATAGCTTACTATCATGAAAATTTTGTCTCATTTAATTATATAGTTAATTAAACACGTTAGCTTGTTGTCACTATGACAAAGAACTGAGCAAAATAACGTGAAAGAGGAAGAAGTTATTCTGGCTCAGTGTCACAGGTTCTCATCTATTGTGGTGGAGAGGGTGTGGCAGAGCAGGGCAGCTCACATCAGTGTGGCCAGGAAGCAGAGAAAGAATGCCCACACTTGCAGGTTTCTTCCCTCTTCCTCTTTTATTCCATAGGGGCCTTCAGCCTAAGGTACTGAATGTGGTGCCCCCCACATTCAGGGGGGTTCTTTCCTCTTTAATCTTCTTTGGAGATGCTCTCACAGACATGAACAGAAGTGTGCTTTACTAATCTTGTGGGTGCTTCTTAATCCAATCAGGTTGACAATCAAGATGCAGATGGTTCTCTTTGGTCCTAGATTCCTGACACACAAACCCCACCACCCCAGGGGCACACAGATGCACTGACTCTTGGTATTAGAAAGTCTGACTTCTGGTATTACAAAGTCACACCATGAATAGAAATACCAGGAAGGCCGGGCACCTGTGGCTCACGCCTGTAATCCTAGCTACACAGGAGGCTGAGATCTGAGGGTCACGGTTCAAAGCTAACCTGGGCAAGGAAAGTCCGTGAGACTCTTATCTCCAATAAACCACTAGAAAACTGGAAGTTGTGCTGTGGCTCAAGCGGTAGAGCGCTCGCCTTGAGCTTAACTGCTGAGGGATAGCGCCCAAGCCCAGAGTTCAAGCCCCCATGACCGACCAAAAAAAAAAAAAAAAAGTAGGAAGGAAGGAAAAAAAGAAATACCAGGAAGCTCTGAACCACCTGGCTACAGCAAGTCATGTCCAGGCCTTGGTGTCTGGCTACTCCACCAGTCTATTTTCTCTGTCCAGTAACTACAGAACTTGAAGAATGGTCCATTTGTCTAAATTTAAATTAAGGCTTAGCTCATCTGTGACAGGTGATGATGCTTCTCAACGCAATCAAACTGAAAACTGTGATTAACTGTCTTAACAATAAGACATGAATCGGATGGAAGAAGAAGTAAAATTTATCAAGCACTTGCTATCTGGCAGGGTCTGTATTGCTCCACACTTTTTCATTTAATCCACCCAATAGACTTAGAATGTAAGAACTGCTTGCCAATTTTAAAGAAAATTGAGGCTTCAGGGATATATAACAAGTCCAAGGTCACAAAGCAAATAAG